ATTTGTTGTTGTTGTTGTTGTTTGCCATCGAGTCGGCCCCAACTCATAGCGACCCCTCCTTGGGTTTCCGAGGCAGTATCACTATGGAAGTAGGAATGCCCAACCTTCCTTCCGAGCCATAAAGATTTATAACCTTGGAAATCCTACGGGGGTTGCTTTGAGTCAGAACTGACTCAATGGCAGGGAATTTTTGGTTTGAAAAATTACATCCTAAAAACAAGTGCTAAATAATACAAAAAATGAAATACTCTGGTATAAATCTGACAAAATATGAATGGCATCTACATGAGGAAAATTATAAAATTTTGATGAAAGAACTTGAAGATGTAAATAAATGGAGAGATAATCCATGTTTATGGGTAGTAAGACTCAGTATTGTTGCTATGGATTGAATTGTGTGCTGCAAAATATGTGTTGTAAATCCTAACTTCTATGTCTGTGGTTATAATCCCATTTGGGAATGAGTTGTCTTTGTCATGTTAATGAGGCAGGATTAGCATAGGATTGTCTTGAGTCAATCTCTTTTGAGATAAAAAAAGAGATTAGACTAGCAAGCAAGCAGAGATGGAGGAAGAGAAATGCGAAGCCACTTGAAGATCTTGCAAGGATCAGAAGTTAAAAGAAACAAAGATATTTCTCCAGAGCAGACAGACAGACAGAAAGAGATAGAGCCTTTTCCTAAAGTCAGCACCTTGAATTCAGACTTCTAGCCTCCTAAACTGTAACAAAATAAATTTGTTTGTTAAAGCCATCCATTTGTGGTATTTCTATTATAGCAGCATTAGATAACTAAGACAATCGTTAAGATGTAAATTCTTCCGAACTCAATTTATAGATCAATGCAAACCTAATCAAAATCCCAGCAAGGTACTTTGTAGATATTGAAAAACTGGTTCTAAAATTTATATGGAAAGCCAAAATACCCACAATAGTTAACTCAATACTGAAGAAGAAGAAGGTCAGAAGACTGACACTACCTGACTCCAAGACTTATTATCAAGACAGTGCGGTGCTGGCAAAAGAATAGATAAATAGATCAGTGGGATAGAATTTTTATTTTTAGAAATAAAAAATGAAACAACTCACTGCTACTGAGTCAATTATAACTCATAGCAACCCTATAACCTAGAAATGTTGTTGTTGTTGTTATGTGCCGTCAAGTTAGACCCGACTCGTAGTGACCCCTTCTTGTGTTTCCAAGGGGGTATCACTACGGAAGTAGATTCCCCAACCTTCCTTCCAAGGAGTGGCTGGTGGGTTTGAACTGCCAGCCTTCTGGTTAGCAGTCAAGTGCCTTAGGC